ACGTTGGTGTCAGGCCCCCCGGGGGTGACGCAAGTAGGAAAGGAAGTAGTGAAGTCATGGATGAAACTGCAAAGTTCGGTAGTGCTCGCCCCCGTACAAAACATCGCATGTATCATGGGACGGAGGAGGTGGAAAGGGTTGGCCGACGAGGGTAACTCTTATGTTAAGGTTGTATAACTGTTGGGCAGCTGCAATCTCGACGTGGGTTGCGTAGGCAGTTGGAACCGACATGAGTTGGAGGTACTCCGGAACATTTTGGTAGGTTTGTTGAGGTTGACCAGCTATTTGAATATTCTCTGAAATTATTCCAACAAATATGGACGCGAGCTCCCGACGGTGTTTCACGGCACAGCCCACGTGGAAGGGCTGGGTGGACTTGGCGATTAACTGGTCCGTGTCCAGTATGGTCGGGTCGGCACGTTTGCAGTCACGGCAGCGCTTGCCAACCTATATGCATTGCACGAGAAAAATATGGAAGTGAAAAAAGATGCGTCCTGCGTCAGCATGATATCGTTACGCAGCAAATATAGTGTTACGAACATGACAAAAGAGGACTGAAAATACTGGCTGGCGTGGAACACGAAAAAAAATGAGTGCACAAACACTAGGAAGTAATAGAAGTAGGTCCTGCGTCAGCTTGAGTGTTTGCGCAGCAGCAAAGACAGGAACACATACTATACATAACGAACATGTGCGTGCACACATGTTCGGGCAGGAAATCTATGATGTTGTGTTCATGGCAGTGCGTATATCAACGGCAGGAGTTACAAACATGTTTCTTGCGTCAGCATTTTGTATTTCTGCAGCAGGAAGGACAGGGCGAACACTACATATAACCGAACATGTGCGCAATTCTACGGCAACGGGCGGGAACCAAAAAAAAATGGTGTGTACGCAATCTTCGAACGAAGATATATATGTGCCTTGCGTTGTCAGCGTTTGTCTGTGCGCAGCAAAAAGGAGGATCACATCGTACATACGGCGAAGGACGTTAGACACATGCCAAACAGGTACAGTGCGCATCTGGACGGGCGAGAACATGTATAAATGTTTGATGTTGGGTTGGGTCGGCAGGCAGACGAAAGGGGGTAGAGACGGGAAAGAAGGATTGTTTTGTGAAACAGAAATAATAAAAGGACTCGCGTCGTCCTCGCCGGCCAGCCTAACGTTGACGGGGACGCCGTCCCCCTTGAGGACGATGCAGGCCTCCGCGTTGAGGCACCAGTTAATATGGCACGCCGGGCGTTCCACGTCTGTTTGGTCACAAAAAGAGAAGTTGACAACATGCATACATACATAGTACGTGGAGGCGGAAAACTCGTCGGGGAAAACCTTTTTTTTCTCGCAGTGTTTTGTTGAATAGATCTATTCATTTTCTGAGTCACTCAACAGCACAGGGAGGGGCAAAGATTGCGCAACAGCCTGACACGGGCACAGCACAGCACAAAAAAAAGGTTGCTTGGTGATTGCATGCTTTTTTTCTTGTGACAGAAATCAGAAATGAATCGCGTAATTCCTACAACGTCGGCATATGATTCATACCCATCACGAAGAACGCCGAAAAATGATGAAGAGCGCCGAAGGTTGTGTGGTGTGACCAGCTCTGTTGAACATGATGTTCGTCGGCAAAAATATGAATCGCGTTCATACATACAAACAACCACGAACATCAACGCGCGAACCCCAAGCCTGCTGCTGCAAATGATATTCTCCAAGCCTGCTGCTGCAGACAATGTCCGTGAAGGAAGACCATTCATTATGCTCTCACCTGGGATGGTGTGTGCCCACACCACTTCGCCGACCTCGAACTCGGAGGCGCAGAGCCAGCAGACCTTTCCGGGGTACTTGATCAAAAGGCCGGTCCACGCGCAGGTTCCCGCGTTAAAGTTCCTGCAGGCGGGGTAGTCGGCCCTGTCCTTGCGAATGTTTTCCTTCAAGAAGAGGTTGGTGTTGCAACCGGTGCGTGGACAGAGGTATTGCAGCTCGCGGTCGGCCGGGACTTGCTCGGGCGAGCCGGCAGATGAGCCAGCACTCGCAGATGAGCCTGGTTCCCGCGCGGGCGGCGGGGTAGAAGCAGCCGTAGGAGCAGCCGGCGGAGAGGATCCAGCGGTGGAGGACGATGGTTTGGTAGCGGGGCTGGAGGCTTGGCGGCTTTGGCGAGGCATGGGTGTACGTTGTTTATTGTGTGAAAGCCGCTCTGGCGGTGTGAGCCGTGATTTGTGATTGTATGGGGGGTGTAGATGGAGAAGATGGGAGGAGAGCCATCGTCAGGGCGCATACCTCTCGGACAAAAGTCACGGTCAACGATCAGAGAAAGCCTCGTGGAAGACGGCTTTAGGTCCCTCGTAACGTTGCACGCTTCCTCGTGGCTCGGAGCGTTG